TATAATACTATATATATATATATATATATATATATATATATATATATATATAATAATTATTATTATTATTATGTAACACATATATACGCGCGCACGCGTGTGTGTAAAATTTGTATTCTAAATTTATATATATTTAATAAATAATAATTCATAAGAGAATAACGACCAATTATCATAAATAATCTTGCCAAGTGATCGAAAAAGTCTTATCTATTTTAACATCACGTTGTAATAAATAAAATAAATTCTGTAAAAGCTCCTATTTTTACATTTTTACTAAAACTAATTATACGTTTGTGTTTCCTTTGTCGCTCTTCGTCAATGAAGAAATTATCGCTGTCCGTTCGTAAAATATTAATTCATTCTTTTAACGATCAACGAAGCTGCGTACGCATTCATGAATGCGTACACATGCGAGTGAGAAAGACAAACCTGTTCGAGCTTCTTTTGCCGGCGCTCCTTGGTTTCCGCTTTTGCCAGCATGATATCCCGGGCGATTGGCGTGAGTGTGAAATGCTTTTTTTGCGACGCCAGAAAGGCCTCTAATTTCGCAATGAACTTTCTACGCGAAGCCAGCGAATCGAGTTCAAGGACAAGGTCGTAATCGCGCGGTATACGTAACAGCACTAGGGCCTTACGATGTCCGGTTTCGCTTTCCTGGAACCGCGATTAATAATTATTGGGTGCACGCTAAAGAGTCAGCTGTTATTTAATGAAGCATAAGAATAATTTGCGACACGATTTCGAATGCATAAAATGCAATTATCCAGTTAATAATATAGATAATTCCTAGATAATTCCTAGTCGTCGTCGTCGTATCGTCTCGGTAAATGTAATTTTGATTTTGGTTTCGTAGAAATGGCATAATTGTTATTGCGCATAAACATTTTCAGTAATAAAAAACCCGTATGGAATCCTTTGGAAAAGTGACAAATTATTATTAACAAGAATTTGCCTGTAGATATCTTTCTCAATTTTCAACATTAAGTATGTCAGATTAAAGGTGCACCTAAGTTGGATAGAAAATAAAAATTGATTGCATTCATATTTCACTTTTCAGAAAATCATAATTTAAGAAAGAGCAGAGAAATTTTATTTTACAGATATGCACAAATATCATACGACACAAATTTTAATTGATCTGATACCGCTGGAAAAATGTTATTTTTACAATATTATAAAAAAGTACCTGCGATTCCTCCATGGTTATGGTGTTGACGCCGCTGAAGTCGAACGTGCGCAATTTCTCCCCCTTTCGATCGACGATGTGCAATGCTGCTTCCGGTCCGAATTTCACCTTTACGAGACGGCGATGGTTCGCGTGCAGCCACTCACGTACGATCATCTTATCAACGCAGATCCGGCCGTCGCTACGCTTTTGGATCGCCTCTTGAAGTATTTTCAATCTTCGCCGACGTCTGTTCTGCAGTTTTACCAATCCGTATCCTGCACCGGCACAGAGGATAGGAACGAATCCGAGGAACACGCATGCGTAGATGTAGACGAGTTCACTACCCTATATGTACGCCAAAAATTGTAATAAAACTATTATTTATTTTTTTTTCAATCTTATTCCGCGAAGAAGAAAGCTGGAGAAAAGGCTAAATTATCCTAATTTAAAATTTGCGATATTAAATGCGACATTTTATTCAGTATAAAAAAATGAAATTCAGGAAAAGTAATATAAGTCAAAATAAAATCTTATCTTTTTAAATTTAAATAAAATTATCTTTTTAAATTTAACCATAAGAAACATTTGAAAAAGATATTCAGACATGCAAAATGATGACTTAAAGATAATTTAAGCTGTTTCCTTGACAGAATTGGCTTTCGTTTGTTGATTACCTAAAGTAGCGTAACGTCTGTAGAGGTACGCAGGGC